ATATATTCGATCGGTACATATCTGTGGTGATAGATCTCTTTGTGGTTGATGCGTTGTTGCGACTTTGCGAGTGAATCGAATCATTGTGAATCATTTTGTGCGTGATACACGTATAAATATAATATGCGTGTGTTATAGGGAAGGAAAAATTGAATTTTCGTCAAAAAGGAATATTTTGATTGGAGGATAATGAAAAACGGGAGGGACGTTCGAGTTGAGCGTATTACACTTGGAACGGAGCAGATACTAATTCCATGGGAGGAGAGAGGAGGGTAGAAATTCAAGCCGTACCTCACGCACGATAATTTACTCGAACAATGCAATAACGTGAAACAACTCGGAACGAGTGGAATAATTCGCAAACAATTCGCCGCGGTAATTGTTCGTCTTGCAATCTTGCTTCCCTTGAAGATCGTGAGAAGGGATGAAATTGTGCATTTTGTTTTGTATCAACGGCGCCATATCATGAACGCGTTTCCCCCCCAACACCGACAATTTTAATATTTCTTCAATGCAATCACCTTGTAGAATTGCAATCACCTTACAATAAGGAAGTCGCATTGAAGTCGAATGGGACGAGGAGCTTTAGAAAAGGGATTTGCAGAAGAAAGAAAAAAAAAGGAAGGAGGGAGGAGGTAAAAAGAAAGCGAAGAAGGCGAGTTTAGTAGCATGTAAATAAGCGACAAGCAGAAACTACGAGAAGAAGAAAACTGGAATAATACCGGGCTATTATGGGAAAGTAAGGGCAGCATGTTTTCAACAGGCTTTACTCCGTGATCAGGTGCTACTATACCATTCTCGAAACGAGATAATGTGATTCGATATACCGAGCCGGTTGCTAGGTAACGTGCAATCAATAGGGAAAACGGAAGATCGAAGACTATGAAAAGTATTTTATATTTCCGATACAAATTCATCGAGTGTGTAATTTATTCGTTAACCAAATTTAGGATATCCATCAAAAACACCACGAGCATTTCTATCGGACGGCCACAATGGATCTGTGTATATATATATATTCCGAAACACGCATGAAAAAATACTTGCTTTATGAATTCAAATATTAGCATGCATAAAACACGCAAAAGCATTGTTTAACGAACTAACGACGATTATTCCAAGCATACACGCAAAGTTCTTGTAAACAAGAGGATCAAACAGGATTCTTTTTTCAAACAGTTATAACGCTATTATCTTATTATTACGCAAACTTCGTGTAATAAAAAATAAAAATATTCGTTGAATGTTTAAGTTCGTTCGAACGTGTAAAATTCGATCGATTCTCTTCGCGAGAATAATTCGATCGAAAGCTATTCCAGAGAATTAATATTAGCGTAAAATCGTTGCTTTGATTGTACACAAATATACACGGTGAGAGAAGAGATGGAAATAAAGAGGGAGAAGAGAGAGAGGGAGAGAGGGAAAACATAAGGTAAATTAAAAATCGAACAATGAGGGTAGTGGTTGGCAGCCGCAATGACCGGCACCGCGTGGCCGTTTTGATTTCACCGATTCGGACGGTAGTTATGCTTTAACGTGGCGGTACTTAAATAAATTATCAATCGCGTTGAAAGCCACCGGCTCGGCCCCGGGAGAAGCCAGAGAATCGGCGGCAGGAGGTGGAGGCACGAAAGCCGGGGAAGCCAGAAGCGAGGGGACCAACAGAAGTTGAAAGTGAGACGAAGCGTCGAGGGCGATTAAGCAAATATCCAATTTTCCTTTTTTCAACGGGGGCAACGTATGAACGTGCCTCGTTTTATACCGGCTTTTATTTGCGGTACGCCGGGCATTCGACGTTTGTTAAATCGCTATAAGCGGTTCGAGTGGTACCGAGAAGAATATAAATGGCCGCCGAATTGACTCGCGTGTCGGTCGGAGCTGGAGCGCCGCGAGTGGGAAAGTAAATCATAAGGATTCAAGGGTGGCGTTTTTTCCCCTCCTTTCGACCGTAATTACAGATCTAAATGATATATTAGCACGGTAATCGAATAGTGGTGCGCAATACTCTGATAAGTGGTTTGGAAATACGCGATAAGTAACGATACATACGATTTTCCGTGATGCTTCTTGAATACATACGAGATGATACGGGATACCTTCGAATCGAAATGGAATGAAAATCCTTAATCGAAATAACTTGGCGGAACGACCACAATGCAAACACGACAGGAATATAGATGTGAAATAACACGAGAATCGGTTACATCGCTTCACGGAGAACAAGAACTCAATTCTCCTTCGTTTTATGACGAATAAAACTCTGCTCAACGCGTTTCAATGAAGATGTATACGCAGTATATAAGTATATAAGTACATATCTAAGTGTATATACCATATGCATGAGAGACATTACGCGAGTAGTAGCTTCTTTACAGTTCGCAACTATCCCCATAATACAAACACTTTAAAGATAGGGCATTGTCGAGACTCAATTTCTCCGAACGAAATCATTGCAACGAGAGATCAAACTTTTGCGAGATATGTTATCTCGCCTCCTGATCTTCAAGATTATCTCGAAGATCTCGATATGGATATAAAAGTTATTACGTAAAAAAAAAAAAAAAAAAAAAAATAGTAAAAAGAAAAATTTTAAATCGATTGAATTATCAAGACGTTGTCCTCATTACTTACGCTCTTCCAGAGTTTAAAGCAACTCTCCCTAACTTCTCTTTCTTTATCCCTTTCCTAGATACCCTATATCTTACCACCGCTGACTACAGCAGGATTTGAATTTGTCGAGAGAAAATACAGAGTATCGCGATCCGTTCTCGAATCTATGGTTACGTTCGCTATCGGTATCGGAGATTGTGCAGAAGCATTCCAAGGGAAGAACATACATGGAAATGGGACTTGCAAAGTGTATGCATTGTATTAAACCCGATCCAAATAAGCTTCCGCATAAAACTCTAAAAATAAGTGCGAATTGTTTCGAGCAGATTCGCACAATAGCGTTTCGATACCGAGGAATACGCGCGATACCTTATACACTTCAATTAAACGTACACCACCGCTTTCATCCTTATTTGTTTTATCCTCGACGACGCACAAACCACCGACCCCTATCCTTTTTTTTTTCCTTCCCTTCCATTAATGAACAGGAAATTGAACTCCGAAAAAAAGAGTGACGTTAATGTCTTTCATTGTAGGGCGCGTATACGCACATCCGACGAGCAAGACCCATCGATTTAGACGATAAAACGCGGACGACAACGCTCGACATTCAATCCCGCTTCGACAACGAATTGGTTTTTGCCCGTTAACCGAGCTCGCCCACCGCCGCTCTACCATCCCTCCCCCCATCCCTTTCTACCGCATTAGTCAACCATCCCGACTGAAACTCGAGGACAGATCGATCTTCGCTTCTCGACTCGACGCACCACTCAACTTCGATACTTGTAAAATTCTCTATCCCGCTTTACGCTTCTTCAACGATGCACAATCCATACGCTTCACGCGTACGCGTGCACGTATACGGGTAACGGTTCGGTTTACTTGACCGTAGGCGCGAAAAATGCGGCCCGGTAAATCGATTTCGACTCGACTCACCCGGTACATCTATAATGCCCGACCTCCGAGTGCCGCTCGCGGCAACGCACGTACATCCTGAGGCCGGCAGGGGCGTGAACACGCCGGGCCTTTTTCGTCCGGCTTTCAATTCCGCCCTTTTTTTCCCCTCCTTTTGGCCTCTCCTCGCGTACAGGGAAAAGGAAACCGATCGAACGGAACCGTGCACACGTACACGGGCCCTGGCCACGCGTGTATCGCCCGCTCCACGGAAAGAAATATCGCGGTGATACGTCACGAAACCGCCCCAAGGAGTAAAAAAGCGAGAGGAAGGTCAAGAAATCGGGCCGTGAAATTCTTGGTTTAACCGGGGATATTTTTAAGAAGGTTTTAAAAAGATACTTCGCTTCTTTTTCTTCCCGTTTCCCTTTTTTGGTCTCTTCCCCCCCCCCTCCCCCCCTCCCCGTCAGTTTAATATCGTAATTACCTTCTAATGCGTGAATAAACACGCGAAACAACGTATTTTTTGCGTAGAACTTTAGATCGTCGTGGAAAAAGATATCGAATATAAGAAAAAAAAGAAATAAAGTAAATAAAGATGATAAGTAATAAGAATAACGAGATGTAACCTAGGATCTATGCGAAGAAGGGTTTGGATAACAATTTGGAAAAAAGAATTAAGTCTGGAAATATGAAATCGCACAAGAAACGAATAGTAATGTAAATGGCGATAAAGATCGGGCGATCTCTATATCGGCCCTAGCCCGCTTTTCCTACACGAGGAGGCGCATTCATGGAATGCTTGAACGTGGAAATGCGGTCGTCTCCTATCCGGAACAAGGACATTCACGGTAATATCTCGGATGAGATTAAACGGAGCTTGCATTCTTCGCATGGGGCGTAGGGTAATGTTCACGGTAAATACGATGCTTTCGGCGACTGCACCAGAGATACACAAGAAACACAATTGTACGCGCGTGTGTATATGTGTGTGTGTGTGTGTGTATATGAAGGGATATCGCGAAATCTACTTTCAAAACCAAAATCTACGTCAAGTAGATTTCTCAGCGTGTACCGATATTACGTTTCATATTATATTTCGCGTGTGTATATTTTTTAAACAATAAGGTTACGTTGCTTTATAGTAGACACTATTCCGCTCGTAGGAATTTTTTACGTTTTATTACAATTATTCCGCAACGCGAGCTTAACGCAGGTTTCGCTTAAAGGTTACCCTTTGTTTTCCACGATGAATTATATTAACTCAAAGTACTTATATATGCATCTAAAAATGATTTTATTCCATTGTTTAAATAGCGGAACAAAGGACGATACCGAGCGCACGCGGGCAGTTGTCGGATAAAAAGCGAGTCGCAAATATTTCAGATTTGCTCGTAGAGATTGTATAAATCAAAACGATAAAAGTTGGGGAAGGATAATTACATCGGAAAGATACGAAATGAGCGAGATAAGAGTGAGATTCAGTTGTGACTTACATTGGATTGGTGGAGTTCCAGTAGATGTCCGGCAGGCGGGAACAGGTGGCCTCCCGAGGGAAGGCCTCCATCACAGCTAACAGAAGAAGAAATAGGATGAACCAAGGCATGATGTCCAGCTGAATCTTGAGGCCGTTTGTGTACCACTTCCAGGAGAAAACTATGGGTCACCTGCGCGCGATAAACGATGCGTGATCAATAATTATGAATACGGATAATCAATTTAAAATGGGAGGCAGAGAGCGATAACTGAGAGAGATGCCGGCTACAAGTATTTAGCCTCCCTCGATATTACCAAGAGACCGAGGGAACTACTGCGCTTAAATAAAGCCGTAAACTGTACTGTGTAATTAGAATCCAAGAATTCAAGCTAATTAACGATTCAAAGGATTCCACTCCTATTTCTTGGGTATCCGCGAGGGCGTAGAAGGTTCTGCCGTGGACAATAAAAGGAAAGTAAAAGCTTGCCGACTCGTACAATCGTAACGAAGAAACCTGAACTTAATTTGTACCACGGTACCACCACCACGGGTCTTGCACACCCGTGGTAAAATCTTAACAACGTATTTTGCGGCGTGCGCGTGAACAAAAAAATTCATTTTCGCTCCTCGATCGCTTTTATCATCGTGCTCGACGATTTCATTAAGCACGGATCGATTTCGTTTGATTTCTTAATGTTACGATACATCCGCTCGTTCCGATCTTCTCCCTATTAATGGCTCCTGTATTTACGAAGAAAATACGAAAGCAAATGGTAACAATGGAAATGGAGTGGATCGTGGATCGACAAATTAAAAATTTAACCCACCATTTAAATAGTGGAACCGATGAAGAAACGAAAAAGGATCAATTCCTCACTTGAGAGGAACTGAAAGGATTTAAAAAGAACAAGAAATCGGAACGATGTCGGATGACGATGCGTTTTACAATGTTGTGTGCGAGCAATCAGTATCGTACTGGACGAAAATAAAAATAAGGTAAGGCAATAAGAAATGATGAAAAGGAGCAAACAGAAAATGTCGAGTATCGGGATGCAGTCACGTCTACTTTAACCACGAAATCTCGCGGTGAAGCAACCAACTGTCTCCTGCCCCTTTTTCAGGTTAACTGCTCTCAATTTATATCCAATCTACCTGTCCTTCATGTTTCAACTTTCTTAATATCCTCGAATAATACCCATTCTTATATAAATTCGTATAATCTGATGCAAAAAATACGTACCCTAAATTCAATATTGTCCCAATTTGCATAAACTATTTGTTTTTAATATCTTTCGTACATCGAACGAGAAGTAGCGATACATTCGCATAAATTCTCGAATTTAATTTGTACGTACACTCGCATCTACTGTCAGGCTTAATCTCCTCAGCGAGATACCAGTTCAACGTTCCTCATTGCAAAAGGCCCCCCATCGAGTGAATCTTGTTTGGAACAGAGTCACCTGCTTTCAGACCCGTAGCCCCGGATGATCTCGAAGGAAAGACGGAACTTTATTGCGTTCTTGCACGAAAGACACGTTTACGACGTGAGTCGGAAGAGAACGAGAGTGAAACGTGTGGCCTGGTCCGATCCAGAAGAGTGAGAAGAGAAAGGAATAAAGCATGAAACAGTGTACATTCAGTGGAGAAAAAGACCATTAAAGATCTACCGAGCTGTCGGATAACTCGTTGTTCTGTTCACGAGGCAGATTCATCCTTAGCTACAGGATTTTTCTTCTATTCCCCTCTTCCATCTTTATCTTTGTTTTATCGTTCCTCTCACTCATTTTTCTCTATTAATTTACCATATCAAAATCTGATTTTTTTCAAAATTACAGCTCTTATTATTCAATGAAATAATATAATATAATAATATACAACAAAATAACAAAATAATATAAGAATATAATTATTTTTGTTTTATGATTTACATTTATTTAGAAATCCTTGATTAAATATCTCTCCCTTATAAAACTCTATCTAGAATTAGTTCTATAATTATTAATTTATTTCTGTATTGTAAGAAATTATTGAATTTCATCGTAAAATTTATGCACGAATAATAATCAAAAGCAAAAACATGTTTGGAACATGTTTTCATCATAATAGAAAAATATTCTTAGAAATCTTTATTGTTAATTCGTACGTTTGTATTAAACGATACGATCAAATTTCTAATTAAAATAAATAATTTTTCTACGTACGTATATCTGTCAATAATTGAAAAGATCAATTAACAATTGTCAACAACATTTGAAGAAAAAATAACATATCTTATCACTTCGATCTATGTTACTTAAAAATTCTCATGATAAAATAAATTTAAATAAAAATAAATACATATAATTCCGTAAAGTGAAACAAGGGAGTGTACATGACGCTTCAACGAGAAAAAAGAGAGAAACATAAAAAACAAAATCATACCGCGAAATTTAGTTTCTCATTAGTGCCCTTACCGTAGCCAGCACCTCGAAATGTTAATTAAAACCGACAAAAACAATATTGTCGCAGGACCAGTTAACTTGTAAAATGTATGCATACAAATGCATGCGTGTGCGTGTGTACATATATCCATGCATATTCGTAATGGATGAGCACGGTTGTTTTGTTTTGAATGAATACCGCGAGGTATCGTGTGTGTACGCGCACGCATATCCACATGCAGGTGCACGCAGACACGTGTACGACAGCGCTAGTGTTAGTGAATCGACCGAGGTTCACGCATTGCATTCATATGCCTACATATATAGGAACATAGGTAATGGTGAAACATGACAGAGTACTCACTTTTTGCAAGTGACCGAGTGGGCTGCGTCTGCACTTTCGTCACGTAAACACCACCGTTTATTGTTCTTCGCGTAGACAAGCGATTAACCGTACGCGTGGCACAATTACAGACCGATTGCCTCCACGAACTAGCACGTAATCCCGGTTTAATCGGACAAAGGATCTATGTAGAATAGATCCTGCCTATACGATGAAAATCGAACTCGAGAAAACGTTGACAATCAAAACTGGAATTAATCGCCGCGAACGTTGAATCGCGTGTAATCAATTTTCCGGCGTTGGCGTGTAAAATGAGAGAAATTCCGATTACTATCAATTACGATCGCGATACGATCTTGATAAATTCGTGAAAACGGACAAAAACGTTAAAAAAGTGTAGACACGAGAGCAGCAACGGTGTCGAAAAGTTAAAACCGATCGAACGAATTAATTAAGGTGTTAATTAATCAATTGATGCTTGTAACGATGCGAGTAATTGGCCACGCGCTGTCTGTTGTCTCGATCGACACGACGAATTCGGAATTCACGGGGTCGCGGCAAATCCTTCCACTCCTACGAAGAGAACACAATGTCGTTGCTTCGTTGTAATCCAACTGGGAAAAAAGCTTTCTTTGCACACACGAATATATTTTTTCACGTGATTGTACGATAAATCATTCGTCCACGAGCACCTATGTAGCACACACGCGACTATAATGTCACGAAACACGACGCCGAATTAGACAGCACACGAAGAACATTGGAGTTGAATTTCAGTTGCTAAATGCAACTTTGGTTTCCTCAATACTGCGCCACCGTTGAATTCAGTGTCAAAATTTTAACGTAACGTGACGAAACATTGACACTCGGAATATATATCTTAAGATGATAATTCTTTTAAATTTTCAGACAATGAAGACAGTGAAAAAAAGGTTAGTTCAATCACAAATCAGTCCTTAGTTGTTTCTTTCGATCGTTTTCCACAGGAATAATACACAATTGAATATAGATTTTCTTCCAAACGTATTTTCTTTCATATACCAGAAATTTTATTATTTCTTTTATCGATATATTGGAATAAACGTTGGTATATTTCTCGTAGTTGATCAAAAAGATATTTGAAGAATCCAACTTTTTCCGAAAGCGACCAATACGATATTCCGTTTGCGCGCGAAACAAGATTTCAATTTTTCAAATATGTCGTACGTTACAAGATAATGGCTACAATAGCCTCAGGTCTGTTAGATTAATGGCGTCTCCGTTCCTTGGAATGTTTATTTCTTTTTGTATATTCCTAGAATTTGATTCTATAACTTATTTTAGGCAAATTGTACTGTTATTGTTTGTAACTTTGATATTCCTTCTACATTCAAGCTCATAGAATGAACGATTTGCAATTGATTTGAACCAGCTTCACTTCGAAATATCGATGTACTTCGAAAAAATGTAACGGTTTTAAATCGACCACGAAACGACACTATAACACAATCCGACCACGAATAAAAATAGTCGCGATGAACTTTTTTAACCGCAATAACGAACACTGATCGAAGCACAAATTCGATTATCAATGTCTCGCGTAATGCTGTTGTACCGGTACTGATTTCAATCGCACATACGAAACACGCACCCTAGTGCTTCAATGAATAAACTACACTCTGCTCCTTCTCTGCAACTCGTCCTTGTGAACGATCGGATTCTCGTTTTTCCTGATATTTCGAACGAGAAAATTGTCACACAGCACAGATATCCTTTAAGGATGTTTTGCAGGAGTCACGTTTAATCACTGTCAACAGTTTTGTTTTCTTTCCACCACTGTTTTCGCTGTCACTCTCCCTCTCTGAAATGAAAACACGCGAGACGAACACCGTAAGCACTGCGGCCGACACGATCGTAACCGAAGCGAACCGAACGAGAAACGAGCGCTTCGTTCGAGTGGACCGTACGAACCAGCGTGTTACACCGGCGATTGATTTGCTATCGCAAAACAGTCGGTAACTGCTGTTTAAATAGATGTTCTGTCACGATGTGATTCCTCGCCTGTTTTAATCTCAGGTGTAAGCCTGTATCTGTACTCTTTATTTTCGCGAAGATCGCGTGGGTACTTTCAATCGCAGTCCCGTGCCGTCGCTGCTCGCTCGTCCGTTGGCGGGCTTCGAATGACGAGCTGCGATCGCTCCCCACGCAACGCTCCGGCTTTCTCACTCGTTCTCCCTCGTACCTTGCGCACACTCTCTCTATCGCGTTCGTAAACGTTCTGTCTTCCTTTACTCCTTCCTTTCTCCCTTTCGCTCGCGAAGCTTTCGCTGGCTAGCGCGCACTCTCTTCCTCTTTCTCTTTCTCTCCTAACGATGCAGCCAGAAGAGAGCGACAAAGAAAGGATTCGTTCCAAAGTATACCGAATAGTATGCATACGACAAGGATGGAAAACAACGTGCGCAAGCGCCAAGAACGTACATACTTACTGGTGCTATCCGCGAGGCGGTAAAAGCACCCCCCATGAGCACAACTTCCGTGCAGAGGAGGAAGAAGCGGGAGTCCCCACAGCACCCTGCCATAAGATACAAGGGGTGTGCAACTACCTAGAGCACGGAATACGTGCACACAAGAAAGATCCTCCGTGTACGAACCTATCTCCTCGGTTGCGCGCGAGAGGAACATTTTTAACACCGATGAGGCGGCTCAGCCGGCCATCTCATTAAGGGAGCTGCGGAGCAGGGGATATGTTGCATTCGCACGATGCGTTTCGCGAAGCACGCAATTAAAAGTCGCACTTTCGTCGCCATTTAAGGCTGTTGTAGAAACTACGAAAAATTACGCACAGCTTTAAAGTAAACCGTTTAAAATACTTTTTCTTACAACTTTAATACAGCTCACGTATTGTTAATTTTATAAATATTTTTAAATATTAAAAAATAACTGACTGAAAATAATGATAAATGATACATTTTTTAACTCTCTTTTTTATCAATTTATTTCGTTTCTTTTTTTTTTTTATTGTTTAATCTATTGAAATTTAATCGCTGGGACAGATTTTATTGTATATTCCTTAATTAAATAAATGAAAATTTTTTATATCGATTCAATATTAATTTTAGATATTTCCGTTAAATCTCGTGTAAACAGAATCTGCAAATACTTTAAAATTAATAAAATACAGTAATTTTCAGATATATATTTATAGATTTAATAAATTATTTTTTCAATTATTTATTTGTGCTTGTTTCCAGAGAATATACAGAGAAAATCTTTTTTGCATGCAAAGATCATCGTATTAAAAAATCATAAAAAGTAAAACATATATGCTATGATGATTTCATAAAAATATTATAATTCATAATTAATCATAAAATTTCCCAATAAAATTCAACGCGTTTTTAAATTAAAACAAAAAAAAATATTAAAAGTCTTTTTATTTATTTGATAGTAAATTATAATAGAAAAATATATAAAGCACAATAGAAAAATAGAAATTTTAATAATACGGTGATCCAAAGTTTGAACCTAACACGAGAGTCTAAGATGTACTAAAACTCGCTACGAGTAACTTCGGTGTTAGCTATTAAAGTCCTCTTATCTAAAAACTCTTTTAAAAGTGTACTACCAAAAAAGACGGCACCACAATCCACAAGAACCAAGCTTGCTTTAGCGACTCGAGGAAGATCGTATCTCAGCACTGTTTATCGACTTCACTCGGTAGTTACGCGTGCTTCCGATGCAATTTTCCAGTAACAAGCAGCTTGTCAATATAGAGTAGAAAATTGGCCTGTTTTATTTTTAAAAAATAAATCGCGACATTTTTATTACCAAGTATTAAATCTGTACATGCGATCGATATTCCATTACTATCAAAGATGCTTAATACGTATAGAATATATTTGCTTGTGAAATTTACTGGCTACGATATACGTTTATAATTCATTAAAAATAATTATTCCTAATGAAAACTTTTCAATTGACATGTTTTGTGTATTATATTTAAACATTAATAAAATTTTCAATCAATCTTTCGTGGCACAATAGATTGGCTAGCACAGTTAAAATTTTCAATCAATTGTGTACAAAATTTCAAATGATAATTAAGTTTCGTTATTTTATTTATATATATATATATATATATATATATATTAATTAATATTTAATTGGTTGTGTC